CTTCTGTTAATGCACTAGTGCTTGGCCCAGCTATCAGCCGCGGAAAAAAATAAGAGTAGAAACGTTTCTACTCGGATGAATTTGGGCGCTTCTCTAGTTGCCCGTACGTTTCCTTAAAGAAATCGTGGCGCGTTAACGGGGCACGACTCTAGGAAGTACTGCAGTGGTTTAATTAATCCACCGTTCCCGAAAAAAAAAATAATAATAATAATAATAATCCACCGGTTGCAATCAAGCAATTTTGAGTTTTCACAAGACGCAATGATACAGTGGCCCAAAGCAGTAGTGGGGGGGCGGACGAAAAAAGAAAAAAGAAAAAGAAAAAAGAAAAAGAAAAAAGAAAAAGAAAAGAAAAAGAAAAAAGAAAAGGAAAAAGAAAAAGAAAAAAGAAAAAGAAAAAGAAAGAAGAGAAAACGAAAAGCAATAGAGATGACCTAAACTACACTACTCCCCTCAAATAGAACACATACGCGCCGTTCATGCATGTATAGAAGGCAGTTTTGAAGTCAGATGCACAGTGGCAGAGCCCTTGCCTTCGATTCAAAGAAGTGCTGGTCGAAGAGGCACGGGCTCATCACAGCCTTTGATAAGCCCTCGGGCAGTCTTCTTCTTTTCTTTTTTCGTTCTTTTTTTTTCCCCCAAAACGCTTCCTTCGTACACTCCTCTTCGTGCACCCCTGAACGCCATACTCCCCCTCCTCCTTCCCCCCCTTCCTCCCCCCCCTGCCATTCGATTTCACGATGGATCTACCTCAATCAATGGCAGACAAATACAAACAGCAAATCGTCGAAAGGCCCGAGGCACTTCCGATCTCAGGCCATAGTCACACTTGGGTCATTTTCGGACAGAACCTAGCCGTAATTGCGGTCAGATGCATTCCAGAAAGTTCTCCCGTCTCACGTCACACTCACACTCGGGTCTTTTCTGACAGAATCTAGCTGCAATTCCGGTCATATACATTCCAAAAAGTCCTGAGCATGAGTATGCCTTCAGCCGCCTTGCCCAGTGCATTTCCCGCCTCACCCGCCGACGGCTATGAGCTTAGCGGCCTAATCAGGATCACTCATGCCAAATGTGCATGTCTGCCACGTCATCAGGGCCGGGTTTTTTTTTTTTTTTTTTTTTTTTTTGTAAACAGGCCCTTATGGTCCTGGCTCCATATTCATTCTCGGGCCGTTTATTAGACGCGACAAACAGAGAAACGCCGCCAGATGTCCCCCCCCCCCCACTTCCCCGTACTTCAACAACCCACTAACTGATTAGACAGAGTCAGAGAAGACACAGAGAGAGAGAGAGAGAGAGAGACATCCAACCGCACAATCTGCACCCCCAGCTGCACAACAAGAGACGAAACCACAAGAAAGAGACACTGCCAGAGTGACAAACAAAACGGACCCGGCGAAGTCAAAGAGAATGAGAGCAAGAGAGAGGGGGAAGAGAGAGAGAGAGAGAGAGAGAGAGAGAGAAGACAGGAGGAGGAGAGAGGGAAACACACAGAGACAAATGGGTAGAAGAATGTAATTAAGTTGAAGTAACACAGGAAGGACCAAGAAAGATTTCTCTCCGCGTACCTAGTTCACTTTTCTGCACACATGCATTCTTTAACGACAAGAATAACTGAAGAGGGACGGCGAGAATAGGGTTGGTTAAAAAACTCAAGAGGAGAAGGAGAGCAGAGGACGAGAGTAGAGATGACACCATACTGACAACAATATATTTATTGCACGACAGCAACCTTCTTCGACGACCAGTCCTAAAACCCGTCCCACGACCGGAACGAGTATACTTGTTCTTTCTCCTCTCCACCCTCGTCCTCCCCCTCCGTGTACCTGGTTCACTTCTCTGCACACATGCACTCTCCGTCCGTCATCTGTCCAGCCAACCTACACCGCCCCTCCCCCGATGCTGCTCCTACCCGCTCGGTACCGACAACAACAACAACACTTAGGGGAAAAACCCGTATTACCGCCAAAAGCGGAGAAGGCACATGCGAGACCCCACAACAACTACCACCCTCAGATTTGCTTTAGCGTCAGATCCCACTACCCTGGATTATTCATTTTTTTAACCCTCGATTACGAAGATCAACGGTCAGAAATGAACAATTGGGCCTAGTGGGATCTGGCCCTTAGGCAAAAAACAAAACCTTATCTCCCCCGCACGCAACAACTACTACATCACCTACAACCACCTCCCCTTCTCCTCTCTCTCCTCCGTTCATCGATTATCCCCTCTTCCTCCTCTTCCTCCTCCTCTTTCTCTCTCTATCTCTCTCTCTCTCTACTCTATATCCTCCTGCTCTTCTTCCTCACATATGCAACCCCACACTCAGCTACGCACTAAACGATCTTGCTCGTTTTGCAAGGCGTTCTGTTGTACAAAAGTTCATTGCCCAAACCGAAAAAGACAAACAGAAAAAAGAAACACGTGGCGCTTTTTCCGAAACTGGCTAATTAGTATATCTCAGACAACGAAAAAAACTCAAAAGAGGAAGAGTGCGCGCGGGCCGAGGAAAATTTGTGAGCTTTGACCGGTCACGGTTTGGCAAGAGGAAGAGTGCGCGCGGGCCCTGCAAACGGGTGAGGGGTAAGTAAAAGGCGGGAGGGTGAGTAATGATGACGGAGCGCTCCTGTGCTTACCCTCGCGTGCTCTGCAAACGGGTGAGCAGCATGATTGCCCACGTGTGTACGGCACGTCTGAACCACGTGGGCGCGACCCATGCGAGCCACGTGCGTTGGGAGTGTGATGTGTTTTCAACCGGACCACGGGTTTGGGAACAAGCGGACGGCTGGCGGGTAAGCGGCGCGCTGGTAATGATGGATGGGAGTGCTCCTCTGCTTAGAAGGTTTGCATCCTGCGCAACAGATGCGACACCGTTGCCAATGTAGCGTGGCCCACGTCGTGCGCTGTGAGTGTGCTTCCATCATCAGCATCCTCATTATCGACATCCTCATCAACTGCATCCTCCTCCTCCTCTTCCTCCTCCTCCTCCTCCTCCTCCTCCTCCTCCTCCTCCTCCTCATCATCATAATCAGCAGCAGCAGCAGCAGCAGAAGAAGAAGTAGAAGCAGAAGCAGAAGCAGCATGCGTCATATCCACCACACGTCATAAGCATCGAAGTCGGTGATATTACGTGTGGTGATATTACGCTCGGAGCTGCATGCGTAATATCACCACACGTCATAAGCTGCATGCGCAATTTCACCACACGTGATAAGCTGCATGCGTAGTATCACCACACGCCATAATCATCATCCGCAACAGCAGTAGCAGCAGTAGCAGCAACAGCAGCAACAGCAGCATCCTTACGGGGAAGTGAAGCACATCATCAGCGCGCAGGATTGGGCACGGGACGAGGCGGCGAGGTAGCGTCTTCCCGCCGGGGGGAGGAGGGGGCAGCAGTAGCGTCTTTTCCCCAGGAGCACGGGGGAAAGGAGGGGTGGAGTTGGGGGTAGAACAGGAGTGGAAGAGAGAAGGGCGAGGAGAAGGGGGGTGGAAGGGGGAGGAGTGTAAACAAGCGAAGAGAGAAAAATCCAAGAAAGGCCAACGAGGAAGCGAAGACCGCGCAACGAAAAGAAACAGAGAAGAAAGGAGTTGATCGACATCATTTCGAAAAACTCACAAGAATAATGCGAACAAGATGAATGCCATCATCGTCTTCGGCCCGTGCTTCATTCTTTCTCCTTCCTTCTTACACCCCATTTCATCACCATCCCCATCCCCATCCCCATCCCCATCACCATCCCCATCACCATCATCATCATCATCATCATCATCATCATTCACCGCCGCCACCTCTTTTCGATCTATCCCTCTCCCTAACTCATCCACATCCTCCACCCACCCCCGTCCATATATGAATGCATTAGAGAAACGTCATCATCCATTTCCCCCCTCCCTCCCTCCCTCCCTCCCTCCCTCCCTCGCTCCTGTTCGACTCCCGTCATCTTCCCATGACTGTCCCTGTCGATGGCACCGCCGGCGAACCCTTCTGGTCCAGTAATTGTTGTTGCCTCTCCTTCTTGTACAACCTCTCTAACACCCTTCTCCCCTCACACTGCGGGAAATTGGACAAGTCGTAGTAGTGCGGCGCTATCTCGATTAACCAGTCGCCTTTGACGTCCGTAACGATCCGAATGTAATTCTTGCTCGTCAACACAAATTCGTTGTAGATTACCCACTCCGGCTTATGATCGAGACACGTGGAGGGATGCAAGTGCACCATCTGATTGTCTTTCGCTGTCAGATAGTGCCCCGTCCTCTCCAGATGCGCCACCTGCATGAAATAGCCAGCGAGTATCGCCTTCCTGATGTTCACGTAATACGCATCCCTCTCCTGCAGGAACGGCGTGCTGCAAATCCTCAACCCGTAGCGATTCATGATTCTTACTAGCTGCTGACGGACGTTGTCGGCGGACTTGAGCGCTCTGTGGTTCACAAAATTCTCATAGCACCATTGGGGGTCTTCGTTGTTCTGTTTGTACGCGTGATAGACATTGAGGAGGGTGAGATGGTCGCCGTCGATGTGCGCGAATCTTGCCTTGGCTTCGTCTGCTGCCTTCTGCGCTTCCCGGGGCCGCAGGAAACAATTAGGCACAGAGAGCATGGCGGCTATGGAGAGCACTTCGTTCGAGCAATTGAACTGCGGACTCGCGACAAGCATCTTGGCCAGCTGAGGATCGAGAGGGAACTCGCTCATTAGCTCTCCCACCTTGGTCAGGTTGCCCTCGTCATCCAGCGCGCCGAGATAGTTCAGCAGCTCCAGCGCTCTCATCAGCGTCTCCGGCGCCGGCGGGTCCATGAAGTCGAAGTGCACAAGGTCGTCGATCCCCAGTTTCTTGAGCGTGAGAACGACGTTCGCCAGATTCGATCTCAGGATCTCTGGATACGTCTGCTCCTGCAGGTCCTTCTTGAAGCTCTGCTCCGTGTACAGCCGGAAGCACTTGCCTGGCTGCGTCCTCCCTGCTCGCCCCGCCCTCTGGTGAGCACTCGCCTTCGATATCGGTGACACTAGCAAAGACTCCACTCTAATCCTAGGGTTATACACTTTCTGCTTCGCGAATCCGGGATCTATAACGTAGACAATGCCGTCGATGGTAAGTGAGGTCTCGGCAATATTCGTGGAGACGACTATCTTCCTTCCCGGTTGACCTCCTTCTTTGCGCGGCGGCGGCGCCGCCTCGAAAATCTTCTGCTGCAACGCCGGCGGCAGCGTTGAGTACAAAGGCACCACCTTCACGTCGCCCACCTGATCTCCCAGGTTCTGTATCTCCCTCGTGATCTTGCGGCATGCGTCTTCGATCTCCTCCTCCCCTGTCAGAAAGACCAAGATATCCCCAGGCGGTTCACACATGTGGATCTGCACCACCGTTCGTATGGCTGCTTCCAGGTAGTCTCTCTCCGGCTCCTGCGTGTAGAAGATCTCTACCCTGTGCAATCTCCCTGGCACCTTCATCAACGGCGCATTGCTGAAGTAACTCTGAAACTTCTCTGCCTCCAGCGTCGCACTCATCACCACCAACTTCAGGTTCGGCCGATTGCGCAGCACCTCCTTCAGCAGCCCGAACAGCACATCCGTGCTCAGCGTTCTCTCGTGCGCTTCGTCGAGGATTATCACGCTGTATCTTTCCAACAACGGATCAGTCATCGCCTCTCGCAGAAGCATACCGTCGGTCAAGTACTTGAGAACCGTCTTGCCCCCCGTCACATCTTCAAATCGGATGCTGTAACCGACTTCTTCTCCGATCTGGACGTCCATCTCTTCCGCTACGCGACGGGATACCGACATAGCCGCCACTCGACGAGGTTGAGTGCAGGCCACCTGCTTCTTCCCCGTCGTGTAACCGGCCTCCACAACGAACTGGGGGATCTGGGTCGTCTTACCGCTTCCTGTCTCCCCCACTAAGATCAGAATCTGGTTCTTCGCCAGCATGTCCAAGAACTCTTGCTTCTGTTGCCACACTGGCAGACTTTTTCTTTTGTCCAGTATATCCCAATAGCGTTGGGAGTATGGTCGCCCCGTGAAAGGGTTCATGCTTAGGACGCCGTTAGATTTCGTTCGACGTTCGGGATCGCGATTGTCATCCATGGCGTCAAACAGACTCAGCTTCCGTTTGCGGTCACCCATCAAGACCTCCTCCTTTCCGTTTTCCCCTCCGCGTTTTCCTTCCCCCCC